AGGAGGTGGCTCTTCACGGGTGCCTTTCAGGAAAGAATTAAAGTATTACTATCTTGTAGAAAAAGCCATATATATTATGTTACATTTGACCGCTTTCTGAAAAACACTATTGATTGATTCCATCCAGTTTCTGTCCCTGTAGTGGTGTTATGCGACGGATTTTGTCGATGTGTCAGGATATTTTATGTAAATTATAACAGCTGCATTATGGTGAAAATGTACAAAGATATGAATGTACAGCTGTGAACGAATAAATGAATACCTGTGGAAAAAATCATCCCCATCATCTTACGACACTCTACAGGATAGCAATGTTCAATTAGGTTTAAGAAAGTAATATTTCATCACAATGGTGAAGCACACAACACTCGTCGTATTCATGCATTATCTTTAATATTGCTGGTAATCTAATGGAAATAAAAAAGTTGAAACTGAAACATTTCAAACATATTCCACAGTAGCAGCGTGTCCTCAAACAGACGAGAATGCATAGACATGTATCAATGTGTACCACAAGACGCCACAGATGATGATAACATGTTGGCAGTTTTGTTAACCAAATACGTTGTTACAATGGGAGGCTGGTTGAATTTGATTCTAAGTTGAGAGTTTGTTTTCTAATGTATATAAAGAGTAGTATTTACCTTTTGATGAATTTTAGAGGTTAGCATTCGATGTTTGCTTAAACCGATCTATAAGTGACTGTACAATCAACATAGTTTTCAGCATGCGGGAGGAAGACTTTAGTACGCACACGATTTATGTTCTTCATATCTGAGGTATGTCCCTGTCTGAATAGAAATGTGTGTGACAGAATGTATCTATAATCCCTGTATGTACCTGCATGTGTGTGTGTGTGTGTGTGTGTGTGTGTGTGTGTGTGTGTGTGTGATCTGGGGGCGTGCACGGGATGCGTGACGTGTATGGTGACAGATTTCTTCGATGTGAATGTGTTTGTACGTACATATGTAAAAACGCTTTGAATATATGGATGTCTGTTCAGACAATTATATCTGAATATCTCTAATGTAAATATTCCTAACTTAAGAATAGTTTTAACGAAATCTTGTGTCTCATAGGCCGGGTGGTCGGATGCCGTTTTAGGATATAAGTGTGATTTGTGTAATATGTGTGTTTGTAGTTAAAATATTGTTCTTCTCAAAAAAAAAAGATAAAAGCAGTGTGTATCCTTCGCATGCTCTGTGCACATACGCCTTTCAACAAAACAAAGCATATTGCCACAAAAGGTAAATATAAGTGCCATGTCATAATGTGTTTAATGTTTAAATGTACACCAAATACATACATTTCCATGGGGCGGTAAGGGTAGCCTAGTGGTTAAATCCATCTTACCCTATGATAAGTTCATAACCAAACCCGTGTGTGGTCAGCTTGCCTCATCAGAGGTGAAGATGCGAGTAATGAGAGCCAGAAAGGACATGCTTGACCGTGAATCTTTCATCACAAGGGACACAAAACGGAGTAACCTGACTTTTTAATAGGTACTGATGTGTATATCGCGTATGGCCAATGCGACATCGTCGCATAATGACCTCCTCAAATCGGGACTGACATCCCAAGTAGGTGTAACCGACAGTTGGTTTAATTTGATGTAATTTATTGATAGATACTTGGGAGTCCGACTAATTTTGAATCAGAGTATGGAATAAGAAGTGGTGTCACAGATTTGTTGAGTGCTGCCTTGGCAGAAACATCGGTCATTGTGTTACCAGAAATTCCAACCTGGCTGGGTAACCAACAGAGGGTATTGGCCAGTAGCAAGATCATTATATAATTCAATAATTTCTATTAATAGTGGATGTTTACAAGATAAGTTTTTATAGCCTGAAGGCAAGAAAGAGATTCACAAAAGATAATGCATTGTTTATAATTAGTGTGCTTTTTAATATATTTTAAAGCCGTCAATATGACATTTGATTCTGCCGTAAACATAGAGCTGTCATCCGGTATTCTAGAAGATACTGTCCTGGATCCAATGTCAGTGGCACAAGCCACTGCGCCACCATTCTTGGATCCATCTGTATATAAATAATTGTATGTTTTTAAACGTTGTCAGTGTTAGGTCAACATGTGACCTCACAAATTGCCACGGAGGAGAAGAAAGAAAACCGGAAGGAGATATATTTTCTAGCTCAATACCAGCATCAGAAATGAAAGGTTGGATTCGTACACCAAGAGGTGGAACAGGGGAATATTTTATCATACAAATCCTCATAAAGAAGATTTAAAATAGTTGTGTGCAGGATTTGATTGAATGGAATATATCTTTGTGATGTATTATAAAGATAATTTGATACGGCGAAGTTTTAAAGATGGCTCATCAGCCTCAAAGGTGAGAGAGGTTCTGAAACATCCAAGACGCAGTCTTATACACTGTTGATGGGCAGAATCAAGTAGTTTGAGGTTGTTTTTACAGGCCCCACCATATATGGTGGAGCCGTCATCAGGTTTCGACTGGATCAGTGATCTATACAAATGAAGGAGGGTAGTTTGGATTGAAGATCAGTCTGCTGAAGTGCCGATGAAGACGGAATATATAGAGAGCATAATGTAAATGCTACACCCAGAGTAACAGCTTAGAGAGAAGAGTTAAGTGTAAAAGGGCTATGAATAACATCCTGTCGTATAAGGATAGTAAAACCTCCAATGGCCCTATCACCCAGAGGGGAAAAATAATGATAGGCTTCAAACTGACGTAAGCTAAAATGATCTGTCTGTTTCAGATATGTTTCTTGCAGACAGAAGGCTGATGGTGATAAACCCTGGATTAATAACTGTATTTCATTAAAATTGGTCCTTAGTACTCTACAATTCAACTGCACGATATTTTTAGAAAGACCTATCTTTTAGGTGGATTAATTGGGGATCTACCCCGCACCTTTTTCCAGGGCGACAAGCTGTGTGCCCTAAAATTGACATTTTCGGACACGTCCATGTCCTCAAGTGATCCGTATTTATTAAAAAATTTAATTTTATTATCTGACCCTTTTGGGGCCTGTCACATTGTTTTTGCGAAGGAACTGGCTTCGGTTTGCTTTTGTGTTTTATGTTTGAGCTGGATTGAGACCTTTGAGTTGACTGAGAAAATGTGTCACGATCATGAGATTGTTCTGTTTGGATTTGGGCCGTGACAGGAAGTGGTTCCGCAGTTTGTGTAGACATAGCAGGTGACAGAATCTTAGGAGAATCGGTTTTCATCTAAGTTGAATTCGTCTGACAGCTTACAGATGATTTGGTTACTGGGGGCAGTTGAATCAGACGATGTTTTGGCTATGGATGCATAGGTTTCCTTAATTTCCGATCTTAAGACAAGCGTTTTGGCTTCAGCAAAACTAATGTTTTAAGTGAATTTCATCTTATTTATGTCCATCTGCTGTTTCCAGATCAGACAATCTTTTGAGAATAATGAGTGATTGCATGCACAGTTGGTACATTTCTTTTAATCACTGTCACAATCTTCTGTTGTATGTGGCTTCTCACCACAGTGAGCATACACAACAGACAATGTGCAAGTACCACCACCATGACCAAACTTCTGGCATTCAAAACACCTTAAAGGATTTAGTATGTAGGTGTCGACATTAATGGGACAATATCCTGCCTTTACTGATCTGAGAGCATTTGGAGAGGGAAATGAAAACAGGTATGTGTTAGTCTGAATGGTTTCCTGGTTTTTACTGCCTAACGTATGTGACCCCTTGATCTTTCATTTCGGAAACAATATCAAGTTCAGACATATCGGCAAACAATCGATCTCTATCTCTAAAGATTCCTTTCCTGGTGTTAAGTGTTCTATGAGGATATACTGATACTGGAATGCCGACGAATGTTTCAGTAGTCATCATTTTAGCTGCCTGTTGTCTTTTGCTACGCTTAATGCACCTGAACGTAAACGTTTGATATTTTTTACGTCCCCGGCAATGCCTTGTATGACTTTCTCTATTGCAAAAGGGTTCAACTTTAATTTTGTCTCAAGAAAACGTGCCCAGTAATCAATGGATGTGGACAGTCGTTGGTCGTTACCATCTGGATCAGTGTCAAGTGGACGTTTTGTCTTTTTAAGGGGGCTTTCGTAAGCAATGGTTAGTGTTTAATGGTTCATCATCCGAGCTCCCCACCCTCCACGGAGTATCACAAGCACAATGCTAAACACAAGCGGATCTCCGGCTTGCAGCACCAAGGATACTCGGATGATATACTCCAGCAGAAAGGCTAAAATAATAATTCTTCTACCAGATTGGCTCATGAGCCACCGCCCTCTGGGCATAAGACTCTAGGCAAAGTTCACGATAACCATATTATAAAAATCAAATGATGTTACATGAACAAAGGGTGCCAAGACCAAAAGTTAAACAATTCCAAATCACATTTTGTGCAATTACATAAAATCCATGCACAGGGCCTGGCATGACAAGCCGATTGATTGAACCGGGCCCATTCAAGCACCCGTCTAGGTGAAGTAAGGGGCGAAGTGGTGTGATGGGCAAAGGAACCTGTGCCCTCAACCACCAGACTCCCGTCCTCCACCGACACAGGGGCACAACCCACGGCAAACAGGTTGCCCAATTCGGTCTTACGACCAGCAATGGGGTGCTGAGGACCAACATGCCCCAGGGTCCACACGGGGGGTTGAAGAGCTTTTAGCGTTACCCAGCACCCACCACGAGGAGATTTCTCTTCACGGGTGCCTCGGGTAAAAGAGACAAAATAAACAGAAAAATGTTGATAAGTAACTATTCACAAAGGGGTCTGAAAATGACTGATTATCGCATTTTTAATTTAATAAATACTTAAATTAGGTGGATCAAACTGATATCAACAGATGGCTTCTGGCAAAATTTGTTAATATTATCTTTATATCCATGGAACGATCTCTGCTTAATTTTCCTAAAGAGAGTTCATACGAACATGTAAACATTAATTTAAATAGATAACTTGTCAAATATTGTGTGTAAAACAATGTTTTTCTTATATTTCAGCTGTGGCCAAGGTAGGGTCAGACTGTGAACTGGACGTGGACTGTGCGTCTCTCCCTAACTCCCACTGTAACGACGGAGTCTGCAGGTGTGAGGTGGGCTACGGGATCTACGGAGATGCCTGTCGCATCCTCACAGGTACATTGAATGAAGATGAGCCTTTGTGAATATCGCGGTTTGTGAGGTTTATTGCTACTTTGTGAATAGTGGTCGGGTGAGTGACTGTGTTTGTGGGTGACTGTGTACACGACTGCATGTTTATATGGGTGAATGTTTGGCCATGAGCTACTCCACTCCCACCATCCCTCGCCCCTCATTCAACCTCAAAACAGAACGTTTTCTGAAGTGAGTGAGTGAGTTAAAATTTAACGTCACATCGGCAATATTTCAGCCATATAGTGACGAGAAATGTTGGGCATACACAATAAATACAAGTAGGTAAATAACCAGTCATCGACGGACTGTAAAATAACTAGAGTATCACAGATGTGGCTATAAAACTAGCATGGAAAACTAAAACATTTTTATTAAAGCAGACAATACAATATAAAACACGGGCTATAGATCGCCAACAACTGAAGGTAGATCACCATACTAGGAAACATGGGGACTTACATTACTTTCGCTACCTGCATGGACCCTAGTTGGATTTACACCATCCCTTCAGCCGCTGGCGATGGTATGAAGGTTTAGCCGATATTTAAAATAACAAAACTACTACGATTAAAAAGTATGGTTGAGCGAAATTGACTTGGACAGTTTTGGGACTTACGTATCCTCTCAGCAGGACCGTTTTCTGAAGTCCCTAGCAGGTCCTGAACATGAACATTGAAGCAAGATACTCATTGAAACAAGATACTCATTATTTAGAACTGGGTCTCACGCCCATGGAATATTTGGTGTAAAGTGAATCTATGAATAAATCTTAATGATTAGGCATGACATTTTACTATTTAATTAGATTAGACCAATTCATAAAACTTTCATTTTGATAACTTAACTAGTTACTAGTTTTATTGCAGTTAAACATTATGATTAGCATGGTAAAAGTACAAAATGGCGCTTGAGCCTGGTTACTTAGTTTCCTGGTGTGGAAAACTCGCTTGAAATGGGTAGGACAGATAGAAGCAATGTATGCGTACCTATACTATACATTTTCACCCTATTTCAAATGGCTACATGGTATTTGCATATTAGGTGTATCTATTCAACGCTAATTGATAAGTTTACAACAAACATACCGGAACGATGGAATGATATGTGGAACATTGAGCTTGAATTTGGGAATGTAACGGACTTTTGTTATGCAGCTGTATTTCAGAAGACCTTTTATCGATAGTTTAAAGAAGTTCTATAGGAACTGGGTTATAAATCTGACCACACTTATATAACCTTGAAACCAGTGGAACGAGGCCCAGGCTATTGGAAATTATTCTTGGCTCCTACATGAACCCCTATGTTAAATTGCTGTAGTTTAAGACGTCATAACGTAAACGGTTGACAAATGCTACGAAGCTGGTGATTCATCAAATGAGGAAGATTTAAAATATGCTATAAATGGACAATCCTTTTTCAAATTGTTGAAGATGAAAATTACAGGCGAAACGATAACGTACTCAATTCGAAAAAATAAGGGAAAACAGAAAAAGGAAAAGTCGTTAGAAACAGTTGTCAGATACTGATAATTAGAATCCCATTCCTATGACTTAAACAATGAGGATAAAACTAAACTTGAAACTAGTAAAGACTTGTTAGAAAACCTTAGAACCGAACAAAATAACAGGAATAATATATTGAGGAGCAAGGCGAAACGGCTAGAAGATTGAGAAAAAAACACTGACTATTTTTTAACTTGAAAAAAGAATTTTCATGAACAAAAACATGTCCGAAATTATAACAAATCAAAACCAGTCTTTAACATCTGAAGAAGACATTCTAAAAAATACGCAACATTCTATAAACAATTATATTCTTCAAATCATGATCTGAACTGGACCGGTAATATAAATACTTTCACAGATATAGACGTTAAGTTGTCAGATGATCAAAGAGACCTTTGTTAAGGCAATATATCTCCTGAAGACTGCTCTGCCGTGTTATAAAAAACATGGAGAATAAAGAATGCAGGCTCTGATGGATTTACAGTTGAATTTTACAAATTCTTGTGAAAAGATATAAAATCTCCTTTGATACGATCAATCAGTTATGCCTAACATTTCGACATTTCAAAGGCAAGGCATTATTACTTGCATACCAAAAGACAGTCATGATCGTCTATACCTACAAACATGGCTCCCTAAAACACTTCTTAATGTTGACTATAAGATAGCATCCAGAGTAATAGCCAGTAGAACAAGCATTGTCACTAAGGTGACATAATCCCCCGCTGCAAATTATCAAATCAAACTTATAAAGTAATGAAAGTTTAAGTTAAATGTCAACAAAACATGACCAGTCAACCTCTCTTGATGTCTTGCTCTTTAGGTGTTCCCCCAACACACACATATTTTCAAGACTGACTTTGACATGAATGTCATAATGTATGAAATATGCAAAAATAGTACTAGAGAAATTGCTTTTTGAAAAACATTTAAGGGAAGTCTTGAAAGTCTTTGAAGAAGATCCAGTGAACTGTTTTTGAAATATCTTGCTGACAATTCAGGTTAACATGCCCAAATCTGCAAAGTGTCTCTGTGACCTTGAAAATTAAGTGAAGGTCACCAAATTCCACTGGGCCCTGCGCCTTCCCTAGATAAAGCTTTGTATTGAATATGAAGAAAAATAGTGAACGGTTCTTAAGATAGCTTAACATGCATGTTTACATGCTGAAATCTTCAAAGTGTCGCCATGACCTTGAAATTTTGTTAATGTTTTCTTTATATCCATGGAACGATCTCAATCTGCTTAATGTTCCAAAAGAGAGTTCATACGAACATGTAAACATTAATTTGAATAGATAGCTTGTCAAATATTGTGTGTAAGAAAATGTTTTTTCTTAAGTTCCAGCTTTAGCCAAGGTAGGGTCAGACTGTAACCTGGACGTGGACTGTGCGTCTCTCCCTAATTCCCACTGTAACGTCGATGTCTGTAGGTGTGACGTGGGCTACGGGATCTACGGAGATGCCTGTCGCAACCTCACAGGTACGTTGAATGAACATTATGAATATCTCGCTTTGTGAGGTTTATCGCTACTTTGTTAATAAGTGGTTTGTGGTGAATGTGGTGTACATGATTGGTTTTGGGTGAATGTGGTGTATCGCATGGTGTGAGTGTGGTGTACATGATTGAATGTTTAATAAGTGGTGTACATGTTGGGTGAATGTGGTGTACATGATTGAATGTTTACATGGGTGAATGTGGTGTACATGATTGAATGTTTACATGGGTGAATGTGGTGTACATGATTGAATGTTTACATGGGTGAATGTGGTGTACATGATTGAATGTTTACATGGGTGAATGTGGTGTACATGATTGAATGTTTACATGTGTGTACATGATTATGTGTAGTGTGGTGTACATGATTGAATGTTTACATGTGAATGTGGTGTACATGATTGAATGTTTACATGGGTGAATGTGGTGTACATGATTGAATGTTTACATGGGTGAATGTGGTGATACATGATTGAATGTTTACATTGGTGAATGTGGTGTACATGATTGAATGTTTACATGGGTGAATGTGGTGTACATGATTGAATGTTTACATGGGTACAGTGAATGTGGTGTACATGATGATTGAATGTGTACATGGGTGACATGTGGTGTACATGATTGAATGTTTACATGGGTGAATGTGGTGTACATGATTGAATGTTTACATGGGTGAATGTGGTGTACATGATTGAATGTTTACATGGGTGAGTGTGGTGTACATGATTGAATGTTTACATGGGTGAAGGTGAATGTGAAATGTACATGATTGAATGTTTACATGGGTGAATGTGGTGTACATGATTGAATGTTTACATGGGTGAATGTGGTGTACATGATGGGAATGTTTACATGTGTACATGTGAATGTGGTGTACATGATTGAATGTTTACATGGGTGAATGTGGTGTACATGATTGAATGTTTACATGGGTGAATGTGGTGTATATCATGGGATGTGGTGTACATGATTGAATGTTTACATGGGTGAATGTGGTGTACATGATTGAATGTTTACATGGGTGAATGTGGTGTACATGATTGAATGTTTACATGGGTGAATGTGGTGTACATGATTGAATGTTTACATGGGTGAATGTGGTGTACATGGGTGAATGCTTCGCCATGAGCTACTCCACTCCCATCACCCCTCGCTCCTCATTCAACCTGAAAACAAAACGTTTTCTGAAGTCCCCAGCAGGTCCTGAACATGATGACTGAAGCGGGGTTTTATCGTATTCGTGGAGGTCATTTTTGGACATGCGCAAAAAGGTGCTTCGAAGGCCGAAAAGTAATAATTAAATTTCATATGTAAGGAGAGAAACAACAATGTAACAATTATATGTTTCTGACATATGAACCGCCAGAAAGAGATTGTGGTTCAACAGTGCCTCCGTGGATCCATCATCGGACCAACATTAGTTGTTTACGCCATTCCATACGTTTCCTTGCGTTAGCTTTGCAATGTGTGACATATCCATTTTCCCTGCAAAGATATATTTTTTTAAATACAACAGAGTGACGTCACTGCTGGGCTATAAGTTAGTAAAGGAAGTGAGCGAGCGATCGAGTCGATGGGTTAAACTTTAACTTTGAATCAGTGCTGTTTCAGCCATATATCTACGAAAACAAGTTTATGTATATGCACATACAATTAACAAATTCAAGGTCATATTTAAACATGAATTTGTCATACACATTTGGACAGTACCTAATCATTCACATGGTTCTAACACAGGCTATAACTGACACCAGTCCCCGACTCTATGCAACTTCGTACTTTCTGTAACCCAGTGTCCTGCACAATAATCCAGCAGGATTGAAGTCAGCACTGACATTGTTTAATACACTGGTTGCTGCTAGTTACATTGATTATGTTAGAAATAACGATTTTGCAGTGCTTGAACGATCTGGACAGTGCCCCTGATGATCTCTCTTGATAAAACTATATCACAAATGTGGTTATGTTAAGGGTTAAGTTGAATAAGCTTTATACACTGAACACATATAAGCAACTATAACTGTGATTTTACATTAACACATTCAAGAATGTTGGTTTTCACACCCACAGGTTACACCAAGTTGTTAGACGTATAGGAAGTGCAGCACTTCGGGCTTTACTCAGGCGTTGGCCAATATACAATGTCCCTCAGCACTCAATCTACATCGTTTTATATATATGTTTGTTTTAGAGTGCTCCACCTTCAGCAAGAACTTCACCTTGTACAAGTTCACATACATCAACCTGAACAACATCCAACTCCAAGAAAACTCATCTTACGAATCCTGCCCTGCGTTCTGCATCAGCGACACCAGGTGTCAGTCGGCGGAATTTGACTATCGTCTGAGAGTCTGTTACCTGAATACGGTCACTTGGTTCGAGTCTGACCCATCTGATCGTAAAACGTACAATCCAGGAGTTGACTTCTTCCAGCGGGAGTGCCTATGGTAACTGAGCTGAAGCTTGTTCTGAACTGACAATCATATATTCTAAAGGAATTATTTGGGATAGTTTCCAATTTCTTTTTCGCATATTCATTTCTTGTTTACAAAGTTATTGCTTGTATGAAATGTTGAAAGTCTTAATAACATTTTTTGAAATGCAATTGTTCAGGTCTCCTCGTGTTCGAAAATTATTACTGTTGTGAGGCTGTAGCTGAAGCATACATACCAAAATAATCAAGGGATGGGTTTTCGTTTTTTATGTTAAACCTTAAATGTAATCGACAATAATCAATTACAGCCGAGCTCAAGGGGAACCAGATACTCATTCAGGTACACGTTAACAAATTATGTACAATAATACGTGCAATATATATAAGTCTGTCTTTTCTTCTTGCACCGTTTGTATATTGCTTGTTATTTTTAACACTTATCTCTTCTGTCTGAGTTCGAAACAATCGGTCTTTGCTTAGGGTTTGCTTGACTAAAACGTAGCACCACAACTTACTATGACAACATGATGTTTGTCAAAAGACGCATGTCTAACGCTAACGGAGCCTGATCAGGACAATGAAGGATGTAAGAGAGTTCAAAGTGATACCACGGGTTTGCAGGACTTAGGCATAGCAATTTTTTATTTTTATTCACATTTTTTTTATTCACTTCACTTGGATACACTTTGTATGAAACAATCTGTGGACATAGTTTTGTAATGAAATAATATAATGGCTGGCATGTCACTCTGTTTCAAGTTCCACTGGGGGAAAAAGAGCAAGTAAAACTGGAGCAATGGCAGATACACTTGGGTATAAGCTATTTCATTGTCACATTCACAGAACATTTTGGAGTATAATCCATTTTCTCTCAAATAAATTCATATTGAAATTGTTTCTAGCAATATATTTCTCAATGTCATATACATCTTTTAATAACCCTTTATATGTGGTGAAGCTTGGTTTCACACCCTTGATATTCATGACAAAAATGTGGCGTTTGGCTAATATCATCATGTGGTTGAGCAAAAGGGTCGCTATTAGCACAAAATAGTATATCTTGAGCTGAGAGTACGAGTGTTCTGTGCAGGACACAATTAACAAAATTGGTGAATTCTTTCCAGAATAATCTAATGGTTGGACATTCAATATATACATGATAAATATTCTCACTTACGCCACATGATGTACATATGTCATTATCAACTAGTTTCATTTCAAAAACTCTCGTTTTGTATAAATAACTCTATGAATAAATTTGTATTGAAAATCCAAAAGCTTTGTGTCTTTAATGGTTTGTCTTTATTGCAAAAATATGGTCTTCCAATCGATATGATTGTTTAATTCACTTTCCCATTTATCGCATACGTTTGGAAAATTGGATTTAGATATGAGACAATCGTAAAATGACCTAGATCCTTTATTAGGTTTAATAAGATCATTCCAAGGGGAACATATCAATACATTTGTTATGCGCTAACGGAGCCTGATCAGGACAATGAAGGTTGTAAGAGAGTTCAAAGTGATACCGCTGGTTTGGAGGACTTAGGCATAGCAATTACTGGTTTGTTCTCTGGTTCATTGTCATGGTAACAGAGCACACTTCGTCTCTTTTTAGACTTACTTTTAGAGATAATCTACCATGAAGGCATCCAGAGCGCACCTGATCATAACCTCTATGCTGAAGGGAAGGGAAAGGCTTTCCCTTATTTGGTGTTGATGAAATGATCGGTACAAGAACCATTATGTTAGAACATTAAAATGACGACGCCGATTTAACTATTTACACAAGGTGTAGACAATGATACAGATCAGTGACATCGTTCTGTACAACTAGTAAATAAATGCAAGATACGACCATTCTAATATCAGCCAATCAGGAAACAGTACTCTGCTAGTAGAGCATTTTGGTTTTGGTTTGTGAATCATTGAATCGATTGATCTTTGTACTTTGTTTGTGAGAGGTGAAGTGTGACAAAGCTGACAACATCAAACAGTATCTGAAACAGATAGGAAGACTGAAGGCTTTCATGTGCACTGCCCTGGCTGCATGTGCAACCACTGTGAAGCTGACGACGACTTCGTCTTTTGTTGTGTTGTCCATACATATGTAATTAGTTATGTAAGAAACGAAAATGAATTAGGTTCTGCCGTGGCAAAACAATTAACGCCACAACTTACAAAGACAATTTCACTGAAGAGAATAAATAATGTTTTGTAATTTTATGGATGACTGGGAACAGACGCAAGTCTAACGGTGCGAGATCGTAAGAACTGGGGTTCTAAAGGAGATTAAAGTGATACCGTTGGTTTGAAGGACTTTGATATGGCAAAAACTGTTTTGTTCACTGACGCAGTATCATGATAACAGAGGACACTTTTTCACCACTTACTTTCAGGGATAGGTTTAGAGACAGTGTACCACGGTGACACGCTGAGCACACCAGGATACGAAGGTCATAAGCTCTGTGCTTTTAGAACAGGCGTTTGTATTGTGTTGATGACATGACCTGAGCAAGAACAATGTTGTGTTTCACTATGTGCTTTTGGGTGCTGTACATCTTATGGATGTAATGATACAAATACCTACAGAGGTTGTCCGATATGCTTAACAAATTGCAGATATGTCCAGTTACATTAATTATTCTTACATATCTTTTGTTTTATTGACATCTTATGTATTTGTCCTGTTTGGGTGGGGTGGGCCTAGTAGTTGTATCAGAGTATCGTCGTTGCGGTCGGTTGTAGAGGGATTAACAACTTTGCAAACCGCAATTCAATCCGTCCTGGCTTTTCTCCCACACTGAGTAGAACATCGTTATTATTTTACCACGGATTTACACTTAACCCGCCTATTTTTTCTGTGATTATTTTTGTAGATATTCTCTTTCAGAACTTGAAAACGCCGAATGTTTTTTGCAGTCATTATAAAGTCGAACGCACCTTATCCATGGTGCAGTATGTTGTCATCACTATTGATGTTAAACGTGTGCTTTACAAATTTTTCAATAAACACATCAAGATGAAACAAATCTGATGGGACTTTGCTTTGTAATAGACAATCATTATTCAACAGCCGTTATAATTACAAGGATAGTTAAAGCAACGTTCCTGACACATAGGTGACGAATGGAACAAACGCCGCTGTGCGTCTGGGTCAAGATAGCCAACGGTCAACACATTAGTGACACATAAGTCTATTTATTTATTCGTATCTCCAGAGAGTTAACAATCATCCAATTTAATAGTTGTCTTGTGATTTCTTCTGTTGAATACGTCCCCTTGTTTTGTCTTAAGAATGTTGTCCATCGTGCAATTCATTTAAGTCTTTGCAGGTGGCTTGAATCATGAAATACACCGTAAATGTCTGTTGTTACTATCTTCCATTTTTGGGGATACTTTTTCAATGTAACACGCTACGTCCCAGGTTAAAAACACGCTTCTTCCCCGGTTACAAAAAGTCAAAATCAGCGAGACATGCAACTGTTTCGTTTCTCACGACTTCTCAATTATTGTTTGTAGCGACATGTTAGGGCTAATTCTTGCTGGAAGTATGGCCAACTTGACCTCTGCGAGGTACAAGTAACTACATGACTAAGTAACCAATGGGCACCAGTGCACGCATATCAGCCCAATTCAAAACCCCGTAAAGTATTTTCTGTGTCTTCAGCAAGTCGCATATTCAAATTGGTGCCACAGCAATTTTGGTCCTGACAGTCTGAGGAAAGAGTTAAATGTATGTTGAGTTATTGGTGAGACGTTTTCGGCACTACATATTGTAAAAAAATGTCTGTTTTGCTATCCTTTTGACAGCATTTTGGAGACTTGAATATATCCCGTGCCACCAATATGGTTTTAGGCGAGTGGAAGTGCCAATCAGGATGTTTTCGTGAACAGCGTTTCCAAACACTGATGTATTTGACTCAGCAGTTATGTGTCACATTATGCTCACTTAGGGCTCTTGGTCATGGTGAGTTGACATCATTGGCCACCAAAGATAAAAATAATTCAAATTTGGTTTTAGCTGAGCAAATTCGTTCATCCATAAGGGAGGGAGTGAGTTTAGTATTACGCTGCTTTTATCAATAATCTAGCAATATTACGGCGGTCGACACCAGAAATGGGCTTCATATATATGTGCCCATGTTGGGAATCGACCCTTGGTCTTCGGCGTGACGAGCAAATACTGGGCTATCCCACCGCCCCCTGTTCACCCATGAAGATGGTGATGCCAAAGCTGTTAAATGTCTTTTTTGAAAAGGACTTACGGACAGTTTATAGCGTTATCCATCAAGTCACCAAAACGCGTCTTGTGTACAAACACATCAATTATCTAAGTTTTGTTTTCCAAGTCCATTTAAAGACAGCTCTTTCCAGGTTTATATGGTCTTTTAAACTGCTTTAGAAACTGACAGAAATACAAACACAGTACGATATACATATACTGGATGATATATAAATACTGAACAATATACAAATACTGAACAATATACAAATACTGGACAATATACAAATACTGGACAATATACAAATACTGGACAATATACAAATACTGAACAATATACAAATACTGGACAATATACAAATACTGGAAGATAAACAAACACTGACCTATAAACAAGTACTGGACGATATACAAATTCTGAATGATAAACAAATACTTGAAGGTATGCAAATACCAAACGATATACAAATACAGGGCAGTATTCAAAACCAAAGGATTTAGAAATACTAGACGAAATACAAATACTGGATGATATACAAGTACTTGATGATATACAATTACTGTACGATATACAAATACTGGATGATATACAATTACTGTACGATATACAAATACTGGATGATATAAATACTTGATGATATACAAACGCTGAACGATAAATACTGTACGATATACAAATACCGAACGATATGCAAGTATTGGACGATGTGTAAACACTGAACGATATGCACATATTGGACGATACACAAATTTTTGATATACAGATAATGTAAGATATACAGATACTGTACGATATACAAAAGTTGAAAGATTTACAAATACTGGATGAAATACAAATACTGAACGATATACAAATACTTGATGATATACAAATACTATATAATATACAAAAGCTGAAAGATTTACAAATACTGGATGATATATAAATACTGAATGATATGCAAATGCTGGACGATATACAAATGCTGGACGATATACGATATACAAATGCTGGACGATATACAACTACTGAACGACATACAAACACTGAAGGATATACAATTACTGAGTGAATGAGTTAAGATTTAAAGTCACATCGGCAATATTTCAGCCATATCGTGACTAAAACTAATTCTAAATTCATAATACATACATATAATATATGAAACCCTGTCAACGAAGGACAGTAAAATTACTAGGTTATGACAAAGTGTGTTACAACTAGCTAGCATATATCTTTAAATGTAGAAAACTATTTTTGGACAATGCAATGTACAATCTGGGCTATTGATCGCCAACAACTGAAGGTAGATCACCACACTAGGGACCATGGGGACTTACAGTACCTTTGCTACCTGTATGGATCCTAGCTGGATGTATATCATCCCTTCAGCCGCTGGCTACAATTACTGAATGATAAATAAATGCTGATCGGTATACAAATACTGGAAGATAAACAAATACTGGAAGGTAAACAAATACTGAATGATATACAAATACTGAATGATATACAAATACTGGACGATATATCAATACTGTATGATATACAAATACTGCACAATATATAAATACATGAAGATAAAAAATACTGAGCGATAGACAAACGCTCACCAACAAACAAATACTGGACGATATACAAATACTGAATGATATACAAATAGTGAATGATATGCAAATACTGAACAATATACAAATACTGGGCAGTACACAAATACCGAACGATTTACAAATACTAAACGAAATACAAATACTGGATGATATACAAATGATAAACAATATGCAAATATTGGACAATATGCAAATACTGGACGATACATAAATACTTGATGATATACAATTACTGTACGATATACAAATACTGGATGATATATCAATACTGAATGATATACAAATACTGAACAATATACAAATACTGGAAGATAAACAACTACTGAGCGATCGACAAACGCTGACCAATAAACAAATACTGGAC